TCGAAAATGGAATTCGCAAGAGGCCATTATCCATTATCCAAACCGAATAGAATCTCTCCCTGAAAATTCTCCTCGAGTCATTCTTTTCCATTCAAATTTTCCCTCTCTTCATTAACGGAAAATTCTTGGAAGATTCGAATCGATATTCATTATCCATCCCATTCCTCGAAAATGGAATTCGCAAGAGGCCATTATCCACTATCCAAACCGAATAGAATCTGAAAATTCTCCTTCGAGTTATCCTTTTCCATTCAAATTTTCCCTCTCTTCATTATATATTTCCTTAACGGAAAATTCTTGGAAGATTCGAATCGATATTCATTATCCATCTCATTCCATTTCATTCCATCGCCATTATCCACTTATCCAAACCGGAAACTTAGAATCTGAAAATTCTCCTTCGAGTTATCCTTTTCCATTCAAATTTTCTCTCTCTTCATTATATATTTCCTTAACGGAAAATTCTTGGAAGATTCGAATCGATATTCATTATCCATCCCATTCCTCGAAAATGGAATTCGCAAGAGGCCATTATCCACTATCCAAACCGGATAGAACCTGAAAATTCTCCTTCGAGTTATCCTTTTCCATTCAAATTTTCCCTCTCTTCATTATATATTTCCTTAACGGAAAATTCTTGGAAGATTCGAATCGATATCTCTTCCCGTTCCTCGAAAGCGGAATTCGCAAGAGGCGAGATGAAATATACTCCTGTTGTGTAAACAGGTAAGGTAACGTCATTTCTCTCCTCCCCAAGAAAAGCGGGAAGAGGGAAGAGAGGTAGGAAATTGATGGTAGGAAAAGCGTGAAATTGAACGAAGGACGCACTTTATCGAGGCGGCGCGACACGGCCCTGGGCCCCGCGAAAGAATTTACTCGTCCATCGTGGCCGACGTGACTGATGCCCCGCTACGGTTCCTCGTGACAGAGCTTGGGGATAATCCTTAATGCGATAATCCACACCGGCGAGGGTACACCGTTAACGCAGTGTGCACCGTTCGGCCGGTGCTTTTAACGCGAAATCGATGGAGGTCCCGAGGGGAGAGATATACGGCTGCTGCCACAAGCTTCCCGCCCGATAAACAGGATTTCGAATGTGTTAATATGTCGCGGAGGTTATTTGATTTAAGTTGCAACGATCAAGTTGTTGAATCGTTTTAATCAACGACGATGACTTGAAAAGAATCACGAGGATGATCGTTCGATAAAAGATACACGGATACTTTGTCAAAAAATAGGATTCGAGTGAAAATTATGCGACAGTTTTGCATGTTATTAAAATTTACGTTCCATTGAGATAGCATCAGCTCGAAAGATATCCAGTTTTTACTGCATGCGTTTCTGAATTGAATTAAGCAATTTATGTCAAAAAAAAAAAAAAAAGAAAAAGAAATGATACGATAATTTTTTAACACTGTTCAATTCGATTCATCTTATTTACAACGCTCGCGAAGGAAATAAAACTGGTTAAAAGAAGAAGACGGAGGAGGAATAAGCGAGATAAATAAAAATCTGAATACAGAATGTCTCTTTTCCCGAGATAAGCTATTTTATTGAGCTGATTATCGATGATGGAAATTGCATTAGCGGATGTTGTGTGTAAACAAGGAAACAAGATGATGGAAAAAGCCGGACGATCGAGAGTTTTCGATGAGAAAAATGATTAAATTGCAGGTATTTAAGATATCGGCGATTGGTTATCGCGAACGGAACGATCCAAGAATCTCTCGCTAATTTCGCGCGAAGAAATTCTCGTCCGGCTCGCGGCCGGACGAATGCAAGACGCGAGTCGAGGAATCGGCGAACGTGCGGAATAAGTAGAAAAAATGAAAATTACAAACTCAGCCAATGCGCTATTGACGTAAGTAATGCGCGTACGTGCACAATTCACAAGCGTTATTGCAATTAATATTAAGATTGGCTGGATAGGCGTGCGTGGATAGGATATTTTACGGTTTATAGGCACCGGGATGATTAAGGTCACGCGTGAAACAATGGGACACTTATTCATCGAATTGAATTCTCATTAAACGAATGGGCCGAGTTTGAATGAAAATCAATCGTTTGTTAGAAGAGATACCATTGAAATTTGCATTGGGAAGGGTAATTAATTTATGGAAATGGTAACGGTACAACTTTCTCCTTGACGAAGTATGGTGGTTATTCGCTTTTGGAATCCTCAGAAAAATCTAACCTAAGAACAGCTCGAAGCGCTGCCTCAAACTGCTTGCCCTATGAACCTGAGCCATTGTATTATTATTAGGATAAGAGCTCGAGGGTTTCAGCCCATTGAGAATCTTCGAAGTGTGACCTTTCGAAGATGAACCCAGAACGATAAGGTGTATCATTCCGATCTCGCAAGGATCGTAAAGATTTTCCAATTAAATATTTTCGACAATGCGCGCAGATATAATTTATGGAAGCGAATCTTTTTTCAAAAATTTCCATTACCGCGCATTGGCATAGGTAAGATAGTGTAGGTAAGATGGAAAACGACGTTTATGAAGAGGAAATTACAGCTTGTTAAGGGGAGGGATCCTTTCCCTGCAGCGTACATCAAATGTAAGACGATACGTATATGAAGAATCTTTATGACTCGGCAAACGAGATATTACGTTATCTAATAACGTTTCTGTATATATCGTAGCGTACCATTACATCTGTTTCTTACGAAAAATTAATGATAACGTATCAAGTTTTCATTGCAAAATTCTTTGTTATTCATAAATTTTCAACATAGATTCTCTCGCAAACACTGTAAATCTAACGTAAATTATTTTCATCTCGCGACGATTTTATTAAACGTATTTCTTTTTTAGCGTCTTTTTTAGTATCTTTTCCGTCAATCGATAATAATCTTTTTTGAAAGTTTTAGATTTATTTATTTCGATTTTCGTGTTTGAATAAAAGATTTTTGAAAAGATTTCTCAAGTGACGATAATTTTGAATGGATACCGTTATACGAACAATGCTCGGAATCGAAGCCAACACGAATTTTCGTGCGTTCATTTCTTATGCAGGCATCGAAGTCTCCAGTTGTTTACGGCGCGATATTTCGCGCTGATAATTTTCGCGAATAAATTTATAAAACGAGTTAGAGATCGATCGTAGAAACCGTTGCTAACACCGTCGTTAAAAATCATAAAGATCTTAATCGAAGATAAATCGAATATATCACGTATCAGTTTTTTTTTTTTTTTTTTTTTATTTATTCGTTGCTTGCAAATTGAAAAATGTAGATATCGATGAAATTTCTATTTCACCGATGTGCGTTTAAATTTCTACTTTGACATTTTGAATAATTCTTTTTCTTTTTCGATTTTTTTTTTCTTTTTACTTTAACGCTACGCATTATTAACATTATTTCTGTTTTACCGTTACGAATCCATCGTGTTAAAATTCATATACGTTGACACATGTTGCAATTATCCATAATCGTACACGCTTTTGCATTTAAGATTTTGTAATCCGCCCATCATCGGCGTGGACGGTAGTCGATAAAGATAATATTAAAACGTGACGTTATAACGAGATTTTAAGTATAGTGCGTTACATGCCTCGGTTCGGCTATCGTTCGGCGCCGCGTTGAAATCAGAAGTACGAGGTTTGCGGTTGAACCGCTACGAGAATCGGTTATTAAAGTTCTCGTGAAATTCGGGCCACACGTAAGACAAATTTTAAATTGCAAATTAATCCAATTTGTCAGATCGACAATACCAGTCAAATAACACCGATTTAACCACACGTTTTACGATGATTCGGCATGCGAACCGATCAATCCTTGTTCGCTCATACGCAACCATACATATCTATCTATTCTATCTAGATGCGATGGATTTGCTCGATATATACATATTGAAAATTCCCATAGAAAATTTCGATCTCCCAGAAGATTAATTTCGTTTCACCGAACGAACGAACGAACGAATTATCACGATCGTTTCCACGCGTGCAATCTTTCTCATTCGATCGAAACTCATCCGTAAATAACGTAACGTTGTAGCGCGAGGACAATTTGCACGAACAGCTAGAGCAATCATTTCTGATGACACGGTTCAATTGAAAACGGTATATGCACGTGACCGAGTAGATCGGATGGAAACGGAGGTGAAGATACCCGAGGTCTTTGCAACACAGTTGCAAAGGGGAGAGATGCGAATCGGGGAAACGTAATGCTACGTAGCGGAATAATGATTACACCGAGAGAGAGAGAGAGAGAGAAAGATTGAATTACATATAAAGTTGTAAACTTTCTTCCAATCACTCGATATGTCCATCCGTGGAAATTTGAAACTTACTTTTCCAAGCTTGTTTACACAAATGTGTAAATAAAATATTCATCCGCGATTCCCCGTTTTTTATCCTTTCTATTTTACGCGCCTCGAGATCCGGGTTATAAGGTTAAGCGTAAGGAGTAATTGAAATGGAATACTTTGGAAAACTCGAAAAATTTCTATACAAACGTATTTTCCATCGATTTATCGATGCTTTATCGATACTTATCCAACCATATATAGAGGCGGTCGAGAACGTTGTTTAAAAATTCTCAATTTGTACACAATAATGTAGGGCGTGTTCGTGAACTCGTGGACCACTTGGGGACGGTGCTCTCGGGATCGTTCTCTCGGAAATTGCGTGCAGAGGATGGGCTTCGCCTGGCCCGGGAGGGGATAAGTATCCTGGGATTCGTCATCGATCGCGTTTATTGGAGGACCTTTGGAGATCACAGCGATTCGGGCGAAGATCGAGGAAGAAACGAGCCATCGCGTACACGTACGCGTACACGTGTGTGGTACCGTTGCGTGCACTAGATTCTTACGGGATAATCGTACGAAATCGGTACGGAGGGGAGGGGGAGATCGACCATCTTCTTGCTTCCCCTTCCCTCGTAACGACATGGAAAAAAAAAAATAAATAAATAAGGAAAGAATCTCGAACGTCTCGGACAAAGGGGAAAAAGGTTTGATTGGAAAATCGGAGAGGTAATTAGAATCGCTTACCGTGAATATCGTTCACGCAGATGTGAAGATCCTCCCGGAAGGTGGGTAGCCCGTAGTTGCACTGGCAGGTGCAAGTGTTGTTAGGAGGAACGAGCCCTGCGGTCGAAGGGCTACGCGTGTAAGGGCTGGCTGTTCCGCTGCTGAGCACCGTGCAAGCCTCCGTGCAGGAACCTGGATAATTTTAATTTTGATATTAAGAAAGAGAAAGGGAATTAATTTATTCACTCGCGCAAATTATGAACGATAATAGTCGTTTAATTCGAAACTTTGATCGACCAAAGATTTTTTAAAGCGTATATTTAGGTATATAGGCGTAAGGGCTGATTGTGCAAACCTCCGTGCAGGAACCTGGATAATTTTAATTTTGATATTAAGAAAAAGAAAGGGAATTAATTTATTCACTCGCGTAAATTATGAACGATAATAGTCGTTTAATTCGAAACTTTGATCGACCAAAGATTTTTTAAAGCGTATATTTAGGTATATAGGCGTAAGGGCTGATTGTGCAAGCCTCCGTGTAGGAATCTGGATAATTTCGAAACTTTCAATCTTAATATTAAAAAGAAGAAAAAGGGAATTAATTTGTCGAAGCTTGTTAATTTGTTCATTCGTGCAAATTATTAATGATAATGGCCGTTTAATTCGAAACTTTGATCGACGGTAACCAAAGATTTTTTAAAGCGTATATTTGCAAGCCTCCTGCAACGTGGATAATTTCGAAACTTTTAATCCTTTATCTTATCTTTAAGAAAGAAAAAGAGAATTAATTTTTTAAATCTTGTTAATTTTTTAAAACGGTATATTTAGATATATAAGAAGGCGTAAGGGCTGGTTGAGCATCGTGCAAGCCTCCTGCAACCTGAATAATTTCTTTTAATCTCGATATATATTTAAGAAAGAAGAAGAGGGAAAAGGGAATTAATTTGTTCATTCGCGCAAATTACGAATGATAATCGGTCGATCAATGTGAAAGCATGTTCAATTTATTTAAAAGATCCTCGGAACAAATCGTTCCAAAATTTCACGATGATAATACAAGTAGTATATCAGAATTGTCGAATTCGAAAAGTAATTATCGATCGCTTGAAACAATTGGCTGGTAAGAATTATATTTATATCCTCGATAGTCCGTTCTTTTTTTTTTTTTATATTATCTTATCGTAAAACTTCCAATCTTTCCAGAAGGTGATGTTGGGGAAAAAATTGGTGTACGGTACGTAACTGTACTCGCGCACGCTATCGCGCAAACAGACGTTCGGAGATAAATTTGCAGGGGAAGGGGAGGAGGATTCATCCGTGGCTGGACGGGCAGAACGCGACATATAATCTGGCCAGGTGAAATACAGCTGTCAAATCGTTACATTGTAATTTCATGGTTAATCTGTTACGAGCTTTTTTTCCCCCCTCCTCCCTCCCTTCCCTCCTGTTTCCTTTGTGCTTCACGGCACCGCGCGAAACCCTGCACAGGCACCGTTCCTCTTTTCCGTTGTTTTTAATATCGAATCCCGTACGATCTCTCCTCTTCCTCAACACGGTTGCGCAAAATCATGGGTACGCAATTTACGGTTTCGTCCTTTCTTCGAAGAGAGAGGATGCGCGCCGCAAGAGACTTCGTAATTTCCGCTTAATCCTTACCTTCCAACGTGAAAATGTCTCCATCGGAGTGCCTGATGACCGAAAGCTCTTGACAACGAACAAACTCGAGAACGTTCAAGATGCCCGCGAGGACGAGGACTAGAAGACGCATCTTCTCCGCTGCATTCTGGAACAAAGTGGAGCGAATTATTGCAATTTTTTTTTTCCTCGACACGAGAGAGAGAGAGAGAGAGAGTTTTCGAGAAGAGGAACGGTCTAAAGAAGATTGTTTACCTTCGATCTTGAATCTTTAATATCGTCAAAAGCTTTCGTTTCAAAAAAAGAAACTGACTTGTCTCTTTTTTTCGAGCGTGTGATTGTCACAAGACGAATCGTCCAAGATTAAGGATCCTCGAGGAGCGTATCTCGCTTGATGAATCGATCAAAATATTTTCTTTGAAAAAATTGAATGACTCTGCTCTGCCTCGTTGAATTTTGTTTGAGCGAATCGCGATGATGCGTTTAAAGAATATATATATATATATTGTTCGCCTTCAAATGATCACAGTTTTCAAGTTTGGGATAATTAATCACGAGGATGATTCACATGATTCGGGTTTGGCTTTTGAAGGCGTAATCGCTCGAAATTAAAGTAATTACAAGGTTGGGGATAGAGTCGCGGTACGCCTCCGTTGACTAATATTAATAACGATAATTAATCAGCATTAAGAGGTTTGACGATCGAGCGAGTTGCTCCCTCGAGAGTTGTTCCCTCGTCGTCTTTTGCAACTGTCCACGACTATTTAGAGATTAATCTCTTCTTCGATAAAGACTGTGCGCGCGGAGGGACTCCTCGCGCCGTTAAATCGTCGGCTGTCGGCGATTTCGCCCTGACAAAAAAATCACCCATGGTTCATCCGTTGGCAAATGTTAAGCATTTACTACATCGAGAATATTCTTCTGGTGTTCATCGTGGTGTTATAAACGGAAGTTCATAACAGAAAGATTAATTTGTAAGAAACTTTTAAAGAAAAGAATATCATCGAATATAACTCGTTTCCGATTTCGTTCGCGACATTTTTTTATATTTTACTTCAAATAAAATTAATAATAAAATTAACAAATAATAAAATTTATTTTAATCATCGTATTTTTGCATTTGGAAAGGAAAGTAAAATTGTTTTAAAAACGGAGAAAAATATCGCTGTTAATTAAAAAAAAAAAATGGAGATAAAATTTTTCCTCCATCTCGTTTTTCCTCATAGTCGCAGAGAGTCAATAATATCTCCCCTAATATGACGGATCTTCGCGAAATTACTGCTTGTATGGCAGCCTGTCCAGCGAGGCATGCTGCTTCGGTGGTCGAAAAAAAAAAAAAAAAAAAGAAAAAAGAGAAAAAAAAAGAAAAAGATCGAGGAAGAATGTTGCAACGAGGTTGAAGGATCGCATCTCACCGCGTTTACGGTAAACTACGGCATAAATTACACGTTCGATGCATGTCGCGAGCCGCGCATCAGCGCAACGTCGTGTGTCCAACGTTATGCACAATCGAGCCGATGGCACGCGTGAGATAAGGAGGGAACGATAATGGGAAAACGGCGTAAGAAGCTGCATAAGAAGAATTCCTCTCGATAAGAGAAACTCTTTTTCATACATTTGGCCGGATGCCAAAGGATATCCGATCAAATCTCGATCTCGAACGATCTTCCTAGAAATGGTGAATGGTGGAAAAAGAAGGAATGTTTCCCCTCCCCCCTTTCCTCTCCTCTTCTCGCTGCTACTTTATAACATCGAATCAGCGGTTCTCAAAACGCATCGCGGATCGTCGCGACAAAATTATTTTTCAAAAGTTCGTATCTTTCTCACGAACGATCGATCTCACGCAGCTCGAAATTTTTCGTATTTTTCGTAATTAACGAAGAAAAATAGATCGAGAGAATTGCGAGGAATTGAGATAGTTAAATTAGGAATGTATATTATGGTTGAAAGGGAAAAAAAGGGGGTGGTTGGATGAAGTAGCAGATGGCACTGGTAGTGACAAAGATATAAGGGGATTTGATCCATCGNATATATATATATATATATATATATATATATATATATATATATATATATCGAGCCTTATACCTTTCTTGGGGACACGGATGCTCCTCACGATCAAATTTAAATAGTTTGCGGGTAAAAAAGAAGTTTGGTCGGATGCTCGATGGTCGTTTGAAGAAACGGGCGCGTTCCTTCACCAATCGTTGTCCTCTCCCTTTTTAATTGCTTCCAAAATGAATAGCTTCTCTCACGGGTATCGCGATACCGGTTCCATCCACGGTTCTTTTCTTTTTTTTTTTTTTTNTTTTTTTAAACCTTTTCTTCCGTCCCGTACCAAAAATTTACGACGAGACATCTCGTCTTGACGGACAATTTTTATCTAACTTCCTTTCGATATATCGGCGCGAGATTTAAATCTCGTTTAAAAATCTTAAAAGGGAAACTCGAGTCGGTCATGATAAAATTTCAAGTTAGGGAGACACGTGCGTGATTCGAAAACTTTTGCAGATATTAAAATTTTATCGCGCGTCCTCCGCGAGAAAAAGGATATATTTCCACACTTTATGCACACAATGTTTCGGATTGGTCTCGGTTGAATTGCCAACACGAGAGCCATTATGGTAAAATACGTTTCGGCTTAAGCCCGCGGAGTTACGCGGATGGCCGCCAGGTCAGAGGGTATTATTTTACGCGACGGAGGAATTTACAGCCGATGCGTTTTACGTATCGAATGGTAGTTAGCGTGATATTTTTCTTCCCTTCCTCCTTTTTTTTTTTTTTTCTTTATCATCCTCGGAAACGTCCTCCTCGAGCAACGCGAGTTTCATCGAAGGAATCAGACGTCTTCGAAGCCGTACATACCACTTACACACTTTTAATCGAATCGTGAAAAGGAATGACGAGGAGGATTGAAGCAATAATATATCTCGGCTAATAAATCAAAATTCGATCCTTCGGGACGAAGGGGAATCGACGTTAAACGTGATATTTGATCGAAGTTGGAACACGAAGGCGATCACGATTATTCTCTGAAATGGTGAGGTGGAAGAATGCTGATCTGTTCCTCTCGAGCACGGAGAGGGATATCTTAAACGAGATAATTTATCAAGCTAACAAGCTCGATACTTGTTTCCAAGTCGTATACTTGTATTTAACATTTTAACGTCGCGATTAATCACTGTATATATGTCGTTTTGAATATTGGACTTGGCCGCATAAAAAAAAATGGATCACTCAAGGGAACGTATTATTTAGAGCATCGGGAGGGGGAGGGAGACGGCTATTCGAAAATAAGCGCTCGTTACGCATTGCGCATCGTGTAAGATGCAAATCCTTTTTTTTTCTTTTTCTTTTTCTTTTTCTTTTTCTTTTTTTTTTCCTTTTCTTTTTTTTTCGTATCAACGTTGCTCGGTTTAAAGCCGCAACGGCGAAAAGGTAAATTGAGGGTGTTCGATTTAATGCCCGTCCAGTTAACGGCTCCGTATAATTAGTTTCGTCGGACAAATTATACTTTTCATGATTTTCAACGAAACGATTACTTTCTCGTTACGCGATACGTATGGCCACCTTTTCCCCTCCCTCTTCCCCGCCTCGAGATATACCCGGTATATATATATATATGTATAATCGGTCGAGGGATGAAAATTCGACGATCGAAATGTCACAGATTCGATCCTTTGTTCGATTATATCGAAAAAATTACTCGTTATTTTCAATTTTATTAATCGTTTCTCGTCGATACTTTCCGCTGTAGATAAGTCGTTTGACGACTTTGCGTGTTTGCGCGATGAATGCGAATTTTGAAATGCCTTTCGTCGAATATAAATATGTCGTTTAAAGGCATTTAAAGGCGACATGGAAGGGGTCGAATGGAAGGGGTCGAACAATACTATGTATATATATATATATGTGTGTAATAATAGAATTTATCTAATATTTTAATATCGGAAACTACTTTCGTTTTTTTTTCTTTTTTATCGCGTTGAACGCGTTTCACAATTGCGAAGAGACATTTTTTGAGAATATATATATGTTGAGAAATGAGTTCGTGTTTTGAAATTCAGTTACTTCGAATTATTTATGACTCGCATAATTCGTGTCGAGGAATGATCGCTCCCGTAAATCATCCAAAAATCAACGTTCTTCGTGAATTTTTATTATTTTTTTTCCCCCTCTTCTTCTCCAGGGAATTTTTGATTACACCGTATTAATAATAATAATAATAATAATAATAATTCATTCATTCCCGAAACATCGATTATAGTAAATCTTGAGAAAAACGTTTTATTAAAATTATTATTCACCCACCCGTTTTTTCCCTTTCCCTCCCCCCTTTTAATCAACCAAGGAATCGCGAGAGTGTGTCCGAGTTTCTTTTCGATTTAATAGCCGCCATTAATCACACGATGTATTTCTCCCCTGAAATTAATTCACAACCACCGAATGAATTCGCGACATTGTTACGCAATTAACCTCCTCTCCTCGCAATAAACTCTTTATAAAAACTGCTTGCCGCGCCAATGATATATTCCCCGTTTACAATGCTGGTTTAGTAACGAGGTTACCCTTAATAAATGAATAATTATCACGCCATGATAAATTTATAGGAAGTTGCTTTGGACGATGCTCGGCCATGCATCAAATATAATCAATCGATTATATTTCAATTATATCCGTGTACCGTTCTCCCGAATCAAGCGCTTTCTTTTCTTTATTATTAATCTCCCCTCCTCTTGCTCCATGATTTATGGACACGATTTTATAATAATTTCATCATCAACTTTAAGTCATCTTAGAAGATAACTTCCAATCTTGAAATTAACCAATCCTCTTTCTCTCTCTCGAGAGAGAGAGAGGGAGAGAGGGAGAGAGAGAGAGAGATGCACCGATTTCTAAAAGCAGGGACAATTTAATTTCAAGACGTACGTGGACAAATTGCCCACGATACAAGATAAGAAACGCGTGCAATTAGCCTGCATTTTCACGGACACGCGTCACCCGATCGCGATCGAGCACGTTCGAGCTCGGGCGCGTGCATTTCCGTCTTATAATTTCGAAATTATGCAAAAGGAAAGGGTGAGCGTGGTGGACGAGGAGAGAGGACCGCGGCACGAGATGGTACGTGACCGATTATCGACCGGAATG